GACTCTCCACGTAGAGTCGGACGCCCTTTCCCGGTTTCACAATCCGTGCATTGTCCCACGTATCGTTGCACACTCTTGAACAGACCGCGCCAGTGAAAGTGCGTCCTGATCCGCTGGTACGTTCGTCCGACCCCTTGATGCCCTCCTTGCAGACTCTTGTGATAATGGTGAAGTACATCTTGCTGTAGATCTTCCGGCACCACCAGCTTCGCTAAGCGATCTCGGTCACCGTCATCTCTTCCTGCGCTTGGGCAGTAAAGAAGCATCCCACCGTCGTCCACGTCGTAGTCGCCCGCGATTTTGCTGCAAGCTCGCGCTTCGCCAGCATCTAGGCTCTCCAAGTTGCCTGACAGGTACGCCTTGAGTTTTACGAACCACTTTTCTTCGTTCTGTGCTCGCAGAACCCGATCCGTCCTGATGCGTTGAACCACATCTAGTTATAGCACCTCCGCCGAGTTCTTCGAGCGTGTTCGCGATCGGGTCGTCGCGGCCATACGGACGACAGACCCTTCATCCTTCGGGAGTAGGAGCTCCTGGAGCCGGTTGAGGACAATCTAGTCGTCGCAGTCTGTTTCTGCGGTACCACTGTACCTTCTTGCTGCTGTAATGCGGTGTTAGCTAACCTGTCTGCGCTCTGGTTCCAGTCTCGCTTGACATGCAGGAACTCGTGGGCCGGCCACGTTTTCAGCCGATCTAATACCCGTCGAGGAAGAGGAGTCAGGCGTGGTGCCTTGCACGCTATCTCGCCTCGGATCTACCGTATCACCAAGTTGGAGTCTCCGCATTTGATCAGGCGTCCCCGGTCCAAGCTCAAGAGCAGATCGAAGCCTAACAACAGGCCTCGGTACTCCGCCTCATTCACTGTCAGGTCGGGCAAGTACTTCGATTAGGCGGCGACGACAATCCATTCAGGTAACTTCCAAACAATAGCGCTACACGCCCCACCGCCTCGTTTGACTAGTGCTGATCCATCGAAACTTACGACTACCAGTTCTTCGCCCTGTTCAACCGTAGGTATCAGCTGGCGTGGTTGCTTCCTCGGCGCGATAGGGGACAAGATCGAATCGATGTTTTCCCGGGGCGTGATGCTCGCCGCGATCGTACCCAGGATCTCGTCTTCGCCGCGTGTACACTTGACGATCTCGAGCGTCCAGGGGGAGAGCAGCGCGGCCCAGTTGCCTAGTCTGCCTTGAAGACCTGTGGATCGCATCAGCCACGCTAGAGTGGAGTGCCGCGCCAGAACCTTGATCGGTCTCGTGACCAGCATGGAGTAACACACATCCAGGATCCTGAGAAGAGCCAGAATTTCTTTCTCGACCATACCATAGTTGAGCTCGTTGGGCTTCAGCGTACGACTGGTGAATGTCACCGGCATGTACGTGCCATCGTGCTCCGGCACTAAGCTGCGGAGATCGCCCAATCGCTCGCATATACTTCGCCCACCGGTACCCGATCTGGATCGAAGTGTCGCAGCACGGGTGCCGTCGCGATCTTGTTCTTCAACATATCAAACGCCGTCTGCGCTCGGCCCCACTTGTCCTTCTCGTCCGTCAGTCTGACTTCAACATCTTGGACTTCGTCCCCAGTCTTCTAGCCAGGGTTCCGGCTCATCTCGTGGAAGTCGACCTCTCGCAGTTTGTACAGGATCGAGGCGTAGATCGCGAGATCTTCAATGAATCGGCTGTGCTCGCAACGTTCCTGGGAATGGCAGAATCGTCAGTGACTCCAAGTTCTTCGGGTGGGCTTCGAGGCCGTCTGCGGACACGCGGTGTCCTAGGTAATCTACCTTGCCGCAACCCCATGTGCTCTTCACCACGCTGATCGATAGGTTCCATCGGTCTCACGCATTCAAGAGTCGATCTACTTGCGCGACGAAACTTGGCGTAACATTTACGAGACGTTAGCGCCTGGACACCTCGGTTTCCTTGTACTTCTGGCTGATAATTAGGGCGATAAACTCCCTATGGACGAGCTGCTAGCCACGTCTTTCTTCGGAGCTGTCGCAGAGAGACTCTCAGGGCTCAGCCGTCACCAAGATGTCATCGATGTACGATCGGCGGCCGAGCACCGGCGATCCAGAATCCGAGTCCGGTTCGCCGGCTTGGAATACGTCTACCGCACCAGATTGGCCGCTGCCTTCCGGGATCCGGAGATAGCCGTACAGTGCGTTCTTTAGGAGTCGCTGATAGATCTTCGGCGCATTCTTCAGCCCGAAGGGCATACCAGCCATTCGAACAGGCCGAACGGCGTGATGAAGGCCGACACCATGCGGGCTCTCTCAGTCATTTCCACGACCCGGAATCCGCTCGCCATAACAATACCAGAGCACCTTGGCCAAGTCTTCAAGCAGATCGTTGATCAGCGGCATGGGGTATACCATGAGTCGCGTCAGGCTATTCACCACGCGGTAATCAATGCAGAATCTGATATCGACACCGTTCTTCTTGATTATCACCACGATAGGCGACGCCCATGGAGAGCTGGGCACCCTGATAATTTTGGCGGACAGCAGGCCCTTGATTAAGTCGGACAGCTTGTCGTGGAACTGTGGTGCCACCCTCCGTACGCGTCTACCGGCTCAGCATCTCCTTTATCAATGTCACGACGACGCCTCGCGCAACGGGTTGAAGTGCGGTCCCTTTCCCAAGCAGCAGGTGCTGTCGGATCCAGATGATCTTTCTCAAGCAATCTACTTCCTCCGGTGTGCTCTCACCGTCGTTCTCGATCCGGATATCTTCGAACTTCACATCTTCCGTGGTCGTTGTCACCTCCGGTAGAACCTCCATCTGGTTATCCACATCCTCGGCGAAGAGTTTCTCCCCTTCGCGGATGCAGACTTGATCATCCTCCAAAGATTGATTCGCGG